CACAGCAACAACTTATTGGATGAAGCCCACTGGAGAAGTCATTTGAGCTTGTTTTGAGATCGGTGGGAACTTACGCAGGAAAATGTGAAGGTTGCAAGATGCTTAATTAGCAAGGGAGAAGGGCTGTTTGCATTTTCCATTGCTGGGTCAAAATGTTCTAGGCCTGCCTCAGATGGACACAGATAACGCAGTTCCTCCTTTTAAAAAGTTCTTCACACTCTAGAACTCCCTGACCAGGCCAGGATGGATGGGCCCAGCAGGTGGCTGATCTCAGGTAGTAGAACAGTATTGTATATCATTCCATGCCTTGACTTGCCTTCTCTATTGTACTGAACTGAAAAACAGAAAAGCTAGGTGTGCTGGAGATACACAACTTCAGTGCCTTTTGTGAATATCAACTCTGTCCCAGTAAGTTTGGAGAGCGATGCTGAGGTTCTCCACAAAGGTGTGGTGTTGTGTGTAACAGACACACCTCCTCTTTATACACTGATCCCAGAGAGGGCAGGAGTCACTCATATCCCCTCTTACATAAAGATTAGGGCGGGCTAGTCCTTGGCTGAATACCAAGGGATTAATCCTTTTCAAGTGCAGAATAATAGAGCAAATAGTGAGGCAGCTTTGAGACGTAGTCCACCCTTCCATGCAACTGGGCAGCAGAGCTACTCAGAGTATCAGCTCCAACATGGAAGGATTGGCAATTTGTTTTAAGAAGCAGAATCTCTTGGGCTGACAGGCTTGCACTGCTTTATAGGTTACAGAGACATACGTCACTCAAAGTTTTGCTTGTTCTTGACAGAGTCTCATCACCGACTGTGATGGCGCTTGATCCTGAAATGCAAGTGACAGCAGGTTAACATGCTGGGTATGGCATACACTCATGTAGATGCTGCTGCACTTCACCACTCTACAGACATGTCAGGGATGAGGAGTTGGGATTCTGGGTCAAAGGCTATGTGCTCCAAACAGGCAACCAATTAGTTCCATAAAAATCAACAACCAAAGTACTCACAATGATTCCTAAGGAAGGAACAGAGACATAGAGGACAGGCCCTTGCTTGTGTATTTATTTCTGATTGTTCTAATAGGATTACTTGGCAAATACTGTACTCTTAAAACAGGGCATATCTGTTACATACAGCACTGATGTTACCTGTCTGTCATGGGTTTGGAGGGAAAGTTCCATCCTATGGGGAGTGGAAGGCGGGACATCAGGAGGAGGGGCTGTACTGTATATATATGTGGAGTTTGTGTGGAGAAGTTAGGAGAAGCTGGAGAAGAGCTGAGAGAAGAAGCTTGAGTGGGAGTCTGTGTGTCAGACAGGGTACTACTGTGTGTCAGTCAGTACCAACCTGATAGGTTCAGGTGTCTGTAGGGTTAGCCAGAACTGATAGGTTCAGGGTCTGTGCTTTAGTTAAATGCGTTCTGTGTGAACCAAACTAGTGTATGTATGATTGAGACTAAGCCACGTTACTGTATCTTATTCATTTGATCATTTTATTTTCCCTGTGTGTTATGTAAATAAACCTTGTTCTTTTGTTTGTTTAAAAATCCATCCCTGGTCTGTGTGACTTCTTATAGGGAATGGTTGGTGGCAGCTTAGTGAAACTGTGGCATATCCCAGTAGGTCTGGGTTTGTCACATTGATTCGTGTCCAGCGTGTGGGATACGACTGGTCCAGTTGTCCAGTGGTCCAGCAAAGCCTTGGCAAGTGTGCCCAGAGCAAGGGGGG